TGATCAAAGAATAATTGACGCACGTGAACAAAATATCAAAGCAACGTAAAATGGTTCAAAATGGAAATGAGTTCAAAGCATGAACGGACAGAATTTTAAGTCCAATTTTGCTATAGAAATGCGTTGCGGCTATCAAATCGCTAAGTCAAATTTTGAATGAAATTCGGAAATTACTGAAGGTTTAAATAGTTAATCATAAAAAGAGGGGTAGACCCCCGAGTAAATTGCATAAAGTTTGATAAAATAAACAAAATTAGGAATGACTTAATTGCGCGAGAGAATACAAATATTTCGAAATAGTCTTTGTTGAAATTGTTGCAAATTTTTCTCACTTTCTCATTCAATTCCCTCTACTTCTTGCGACTGGAGTTGCTGTTTCCCACATTGCTTTCATTATATTGAATTTTTGATTGGCAGCATCCAATTTGATTTGTTCCAGAAAGGTGTGAATGGATGGGTGGTTTCCTTTAAAAAGAGTAGCATAGCCAAGATGCCAGCCTTCTACAGCATTTGTGGTCCTTATTAATCCAGCAGCTGCTTCTTCGGAACGATTCCAAAGGTTTACTGGAAAGAGAGGGTCGCGAGAATTCCTTTCGATGGTTTCGCCTTGGATGTAGGTGCATTGGAAGTATGAGGCTACCTCATCAAGTTTTTCAGTGATGTTGTCGTCGAGATCAAATTGGTCACACTTTTTCGATCTCCTCAATAACCAAATCGAAAGCAGCATTGACCATTTCAACTGGTACAAAACTGAGTGCTGTGACTAAGCGCAATGACAAATTGAGTTCGTGATTAGTTTCATAGTCGCTTTAGGCCCACATCGTTTATTTTCCGGTTGAACTCTTGACATAAATGAAAATAGTAGTCTTTAAGCAACGCTCCGGTATGACTAGCGAAAAGATTTAGTGCTGCACGTCCAAAATTGAGGAGAATCCTGTGAGGCTCGGTGTTTTCGGTAATGGCTGATAATCCCTTCTCACCCTTTTTTGTGTGCTCTCTTTTGTTTGGCAAAAGTGCATAATTGCATGGGGGTTAAATCCAGCGAGTTGAATGTGGATGCTGTAAAGTTGATAAAATCGAATAGGGCAAACTTTGAATGTTCCGTCACACAGCCAAACATCTCGATGTAATATCAAACTCTGGATTTTGTCGCGATCTCCATTCTTTGTTTCCTGTTTTTTGGTAACCTCTTGGCCACCGATTACAAGCCTTCTCTGATTCTGTTGGGATAGACCCCAAGAAATTTGACTCATTTTGGTAAATGTCATTCCAAGGAAAACTGATATAATGACGTAGTTTTTGTTTCATTTTTGTACGTGATATTGAAAATTGGGGATTAAAACCTGTTAATTGAAACAAATTTCAGAATTTGAGGCTCAAATTGCGATTTAGTCTGTTGAACAATTTCCTTAAGTGAAAGACTCAAATTGAGTCCAAAAATTTGGACTCAAACGAATTACCACGTGCTGCTAGCTTTCCGATTCTAATTAGGACTTTGTAAGATTACATTAACTATGCGCCAAATCGACACAGGTTAAACTGGTATATAGGGCAGATTAGTATAGGGTAGATTAGTCTAGGGTAGGTTAGTATAGGGAAGATTGGCTTAGGGTAGAGTAGTATGTAGGTTATAATGGCATAGGGTAGAATGGTATAGGGTAGTTTGGAATAAGGTAGATTGTCCTGTCACCTATATTGCTACTTGCAAACCTACAGAAGCTATCGAAATAACTTTCAATATTTCAAAGGTTTCAAACTTTGAAAAACTTACTTCAAGAATTTTAAACTGCTTGCGAACCAACCTATATTGCTGTAGAATATGAAATTCTAGGCTAACCTAAGTATTGCGTGGACACATTCCTGTGACTAGAGCGCTGTAACCCTCCCCTTTTTTGTCTCTCTTCGGATTGTACGCGCTACCATACATAAATAGCTTCTGCCCCAGTTCGGCCTCGCTTATGTCCGGAGACGTAGTTCCATTTAGGAGGGTTCAGGTCACTTCGGTACTCGTAGATATGCACACCGTGTAGTTCAGCCAAAGGTAGGAAGGGTGTTCATCTCATGAAGCACTATTTTTCCTCTCCTGTAAAGTGTGTTGTCAGTCATTGTGAACGGGGCAGCTTTACGCTTAAACGCCTTCCGTTGAGGATTAGTTAGGTCGGGAAGGGGCTTACGATCACCCGTTAATACAGCCCCGCGATAATCGACTATTTTCTTGTATGTTTCGAACTTGATTAAAGCGCGCGAGTTAATAGTGGAGACATACGTTGTAAGCTTAGTTTAGTCAATAGAGCTAAGTAGCAGAGTAAACTATTTGTTAAGTTGGAAAATCGACCAAAACAAACAGACTAAGCAGGATTTTAAAACGGTACCGATTTTGCAACCCCCCCCCAAATGGAAACTACCGGGGCTAGCTTTATGAAACTTATAGGACGGACACTAGAGATGATTTGACCCGGCATGCAAAAATCCAGACCCTTCGGACCCCCGGCCCGAGGTGATAACGGTCCCCGGAAGTGTAAATGGACCTATCAGAACTCGGAAACTAGCGGTGGTTTTGGGCTCAAACTTTAGTATATTGTAGGCCTAGTTAAGGGAAGCTTAAGTTCAGAATCCCAGACTCCTAGGACCCCTACTTCCGGTTTTATGCCCTAAGTAAACAAACCCACCCCTAAATTCCGTAGGTCGTTTCTCGGCCTCCAATGAGTGCAGGGAGCTGAAACTTGGAGGGATGATAGGTAGTGGAAAGACACATCTTGTATTATAATTTGAACCAAATCTGGCGGTTGGATCGGAAGCTATTAGCACTTAAAAAAAACATCCCCCCAGACCGAAAATAGGCAGTTTACGCGAAATGATGAACGGTAGCATAATGATTTATTGCGGCAATGGACATAAGATACGAACCCTGAAAAAAGACCCCTGGTGAGTGAAAACCCTCCGGCGACTCCTTCCGGTGTTAATAGCCTTTTTCCGGAAAAATTTGATAATGGACCTTAGGAATGGGATAACTTGTGAAGTATTAATGGGATATAAATGAAACTTAAATGTAGCTAGGACCCCATGGTATTCTAAACCCAAATATGGAAGTTTGATCCCGGTTGACCCCTGGGTGACCTTAAGTTGACCTTTGGGTGTTTTTACCCTAAAATTGCATGGAAAACCCCGAGATTAACACCGGAAAGTGGCGTATTCCCCAGCCCAACCCCTGGAAATGAGAATGGGCTACCTTGCCAAAGTGTGGTGGAAAACTTCAATATTGGGTACTAAAGCAGAAGTTGATAGAGATATAGCTTCTGCATTGCAACCTAGTAATAGGACCGTAGCATGAGAATTAAATCTAAATAGTATGAATGAACGGGGAATTTACTTGGCTTCCCGGGGGTGACTTTTTGGTTCGATTTGACCCCTAATAGACGAACTACGTTCCCCTGATAGCGAGAAGGTCGGGATTGGAATAGAGTACAGATCGAAAGTTTAGATGCTTGTAATAAATTCGCTACACATGAAAGGGGTCTCTACCTACCCTTAGGAGGTCGGAACGTTAATGTGATAATTAAAATAAAGACCTTGGGATGGTCACTGAGTAAATATAGCATGGTTTGGAGGTTGAGTTGAACTCGAGGGCTGAAGTCACTGAGGTCAGGAATTAGTTGAGTAGAATCGTATAACTTTTGTTTGCTTGGTCAAGTTGTGACACCTACAGCATACGGGGTATCTAATAAGCGTGAAAAGATTGATAAAAGAAACCGATGTTGGCACGTGGCAGAGTTGACAGGGGGAGGGATATAGCCTTAAACATGTGCGGACGGGTGATTCAAGCGGATATCAGGACTGATAGGGAATGGTGTGACTTAACTAAACCTAAGTGTAAAGAAAGATAAGGAATTGGAGGGTACCGGAGAGCCTGTAAGATTTAGAACAATTATTGCAAGCGAATCGAGTAGTTGGTTCTCGGAGTAAGAGAACAATTATAGAAAAAATAGTAGATAGTTGCTTCTCGTCAGAGATTCTCTAGAGAGAGAGAGAGAGAGAGAGAGAAAATAGTTAGTGATCAGTAAAATTAGTGGGAATTAGCTTGCAATCAAGCAATTGCGCTAAAAATCGAAATAACTTTTCAAAAAAATTTTCAAAGTTTTATAGCTTGATAGCTCGCTTTACAATTTTTTTTCTTCAATTTTTTGTCTACACATGTTTCCAAATTGATTCAGGCCAACAAACGCCTACATTCAAAACTTTTGAAGTTTAAGCACACCAATTTAGGCAATCAGATCAATTTAAAATTTGAAGTTTCATGCTTGAATTTTTGTCTTCAGAAAATTGATTTTCAATTTTGCAAAGGAATTCAAGCCATCAAAACACCTTCAAAAGTTTCGTTTTTTCTTGATGTGGTAGTTTGCTTCAAAAAGTTTATCCTTTTCGTAATTCATTGCAAGCCAAGCCGTCAGCTTGAATTGAATTCAAGTGAATTCAGTAAAGCTGATTTTATAAGTTAAAGCAAAACCAAACCTTTTATTTTAAATAGGATTGCTTGTCATGCAAGCGAAAGAGTTACTGAACATTTCATGTATGGCAGTTGTTCTGCCAAAATCAATACGGAAAGAGCTAGAGGGTTTTTGAAAATTTAACTCAAGTCTCCAGTTTTTCTGCATCAAACTATACTTGTAACAAAATATAATTAAAATGCAATTTTAAATAAGAGTTAAGTTTACCGTTTTCATTTTAGGTTTTTGTCTCTAAATTGTTATGACTGTTCTTTTTTTATGTGATAGTCAGTGTGTCTGTTTTTGTTTTTGTTTCCAAGGCTTGCGAAGATATTATGTTTGATGTAAATACAATAGTTGCTATAATGCTTGTTATGTAAAGTTAAATATCTTCTGTTTTATGGTCGCTAATTTTTTTTTGTTTCATTTTTGTCTGTAGAGTCCTTCAAGAATTCCGGTTGAGTTAAATATAATAGAATGTTCTGTGGTCTCAGAAGCAATGGCATTTTTCAGGTATAATGAAAATGTTAAGTATATTTGCTCGGCCAATGAGCCGCGTTATGCCGCAGTGTGCGAGGAGAAATTTTTCCGCAGCCCAGGCCAGTGTAAAAGATGCTCCAGATATCAAGGAGGAGTTCCGGCCACTCTATCTGGACGCTCAGGCCACTACACCTATGGACCCAAGAGTCGTGGACGCCATGATGCCATACCTGGTTACACATTACGGAAACCCGCACTCGAGAACACATTCTTACGGGTGGCAATCAGAAACAGCTGTTGAAAAGGCCAGGGAGCAAATTGCGTATTTGATTAACGCAGATCCAAAGGAGATTGTATTCACTTCAGGAGCTACAGAGTCGAATAACATTGCCGTAAAAGGAGTTGCGAGGTTTTATAAAAGCAAGAAAACTCATTTGATCACATGCCAAACAGAGCACAAATGTGTACTTGATTCTTGCCGCTTTCTACAAGGCGAAGGCTTCAAGGTCACGTACCTTCCTGTGAAAACAAATGGTTTGATTGAACTTGAACAGTTAGCACAAGCGATTACACCAGAGACCAGTTTGGTATCGATTATGACAGTTAATAATGAAATCGGAGTAAGGCAACCAGTTGAAGAAATTGGCTCGCTTTGTCGTGAGAAGGGAGTGTTTTTTCACACCGACGCCGCCCAGGCTGTTGGTAAAATACCTCTGGACGTGAACAAAATGAAAATTGATTTGATGTCAATCAGGTGATGTGATACAAATGCAAATGGACCATTTGATCAGAAATTGACTTCGAAAAATTGTAGAGCTTTTTGTTTTTTAATTGTAGAGTTTTTTGGTAGATCCTAGTTTTTATTAATTGTGAGAATAATAATTTGCTGAAAACTGGAGAATTTAAACAATTGAATGCTGCTACTCATGACTAAAAATGAGCCGGCGCTCTTTAGGATTTATTTCCTGGGACAAGAATCTCCCAAATGTTAATTGAAGAAAAATATGCGATCACTATTATTGCTATTTTATCATCTATCGACTTGACAAAGCTAGAAAAGATTGTTCTGTTTCTTAATCAAAGTATTCTGGTTTGGTTGAGTTCCTTTGCAAAGTTAGTTGGTTCTGTATTGAAACTACAGAGATATATCAGTTCGATTTGATCTAAATAGAAACATGTGTGTGCCACTCTTTGTATCACATCTAACCTGTTTTGTGTGTGGTCGATCTCAGTGGTCACAAGATATATGGACCGAGAGGGGTGGGTGCACTGTATGTGAGGAGGAGGCCGAGGGTGAGGGTGGAGGCCATCCAGAGTGGAGGGGGACAGGAGAGGGGCATCAGAAGTGGCACTGTGCCCAGCAACTTAGTCGTCGGATTCGGTATGTGTTAGTTAACAACCAACTAGATGTGTCGTAGGAGTATAAAACCCTATAAATTTTATCTATAACAATCGGGCCGAGTAGAAAGCTGCATTCGTGTCCTATTAATAGCTTGGTCAAGTAATTTTTTCTGGCTGGGTTTGGAAAATTCGATGATTTTTGTTTTATTTCACCGAATTGCAAAAAAAAGTAGCTCTTTTTTGGAGAAATGATCAATCGCGAGTAGTTCAAAGAAGCCGAGATCCCCGGTTTTTTTTCTACTGATTTCCTGTGTCATATTTTAAATATTGAAGATATGATAGTCTTATACTATTTCTGACTTTGCTTTTAACATCAAGGATGTGCTGAGAATTCTTTTTTTGTCATTTTACAGTTTAAAACTAGAGCGAAATAACGAATATTTGATGCGAGCGAACTATTAAATGTAGTTTCACAATTATAAATTACAAATGACCGGAAGGAAACTCGTAAAGAACGTTGAACGGTACCGAGATATCATCCTCAATTCATTGTCCGTTAACTCAATGATACGTGAATACTTCGCGATAGCTCAAACAGCTGTCTCTTAGGATATTTAAATTAAGAATAAGATTTATCTTTGGCTTCGACAGCGGGTAACAATGTTCCCGGAATGTAAACAAATTTTTATCTGAATCTGAAATGATTGTCCAATACGTTTAATTTGCAATTATTTAAAAAAAAGAATTGAAAAAAAAAATAGATTTTACATATGACTAAGACATTTCAGGAGCTGCGTGTGAATTGGCCTTCGAGGAGATGGACTACGACACAGATAGAGTGTCATATTTGTCAGAGAGACTGGTGAATGGAATCACGTCACAGCTGGACCACGTGATCCGCAATGGGGATCCAGACATGACATACCCTGGATGTGTGAATCTCTCATTCGCACACGTGGAGGGAGAGAGTCTTCTTATGGCTCTCAAGGTGGGCAGAAAATACTCGTTACTTCAGAATGCAATATTGGTTATTTGTGTCATTATATGGCTTCCTCGTTGCAATTTTAAGCTGCCTCGTTTCATGTTCTGTTATCAATGAAACTCCATAATGTAATCTCCTTAATTGCGATGATTTTGCGTTAGTTGCTCTTGCATATATCAGAACTAAATTTGTCTTGCGGCGGTATCAATGTCATTTTAGTGAATATACCCTGTATCAGAAACATTTTTTGTGGCATTTAACTGTAATACATATAGTAAATATCAAGATTCTATGGAAAACCAAATTGTTTTGATCACTGATGCATCACACATTCGAAGGAAAATGAAAAGAAATTAACACACAAATTACAAAAATGCATTTATAATAAACAGCATTAGGTTTTGAGCCATTCTAGTGTTCGACGGTGTGATTAAGAGATTAAGTACTACCCTGAGATTAAGAGTCCCATGCCCTGTCGACTGCGCTAGCTGTGTTGAGTAACTTATGTTTGCTGTTTCAGGACATTGCACTCTCCTCTGGCTCTGCATGTACTTCTGCCTCTCTGGAGCCCAGTTATGTGTTGAGGGCCATAGGCGCAGACGAGGACATCGCCCACTCCTCCATCAGATTCGGAATAGGAAGGTTCACAACAGAAGCAGAGGTAAATCTAATCTCCCTTATGCTAACTTCGATAAAAAACCGTTTCAAAAACCATTTGGTAACGTAACAAGAAATATAATTGCTTTATTTATATTATGTGCTTTTCAATACACGATCAAGAAGCTAATGTAGCATTTGATGTGATGACTAATTATGATATTTTTGGCGACGATGGTTTTGTATCATCAAGATCAAATAATGTGTGTGATAATGTTGAGAAAAGACTTCAAGAAAAACTTAGGACCCGAGCTTTGGATTGAAATGTGTTATAAGCAAAATCAGGCACTACACGTTGTCTTCAGATGAAGTGTGTCGATATGTAGGTTTTTGATAGTGTTGATTCGGGTTGATATTGATTGATTAGCGAAATATACTATCAGTAATCTGAATGAAATTATAGTAAAAGCTAAATTATTGGCAGTTTTTTTTTCATCATCGAACCTGAAGTTCATGTATGATTAAAACATGTATTATGAAATTACATGGGATGTAGTTTTTAACGCTATGGAAAGATTTTTTTTTTACTTTTCCCGAACATTGTTTTTACCGATTTTGAAAAGGTGGTTATAAGGTAAAGAACGCTCACTCCCCTGCGTGCCTGCTTATTCCTCTTTTTACCTTATTCAATTTCTACAGCCTTCAAAAACTCTTTTGAGGAGATGAATGTTTGACCCAGCTTTTTTTCATTTTCTCATAAAACACCCTGCCAATTATGAGATTTTGATTTCATTCGAAAGCAAAGCAGCTTCCCTGGACAACCGGCTACGCCCTAATTGTTTATCGAAATATTGATAATGACCGCGAAAAAGGCCATTTTTTGGCATTTCGGTCGTTTTTTCTTAAAAAGTTTTGGCCTTTCTCGAACCCTTCTATGCCAAATTTTATATCAAAGATTTCATCGAAACAACAGGATGTGTGAAGCCTCCATGCATAGAAGGCTACACCCTGTTTATGGTCTACGGAAACGAAAAATTTTTGAAACAACCGTTTGTGGAAACTTTTCGATTTTCTCGAAAACTAACCCCTGCCAATAATGAGATTAACGGTCCAACCAAATAAATGGGCCGTGTGCTTCTTTGCTGCATAAGCAGTTTTTCCACAATATTTATTGGAAACAATTTTAAGCTTTCGTAAAAGTCCAATTTGTTTCGTTTTTGTGGCTGTTTTTTTTTGGAAAATTTTTGACTTTTCTCATAAACTAAGCTGCCAAATCTGAGATGAAGGCTTCATTTGAAGAAACAGTTTGTGCGAGTTTTCTTGCAGGATTGACAACCCTGAATGCTTGAAGGAAAACTGTTTGGTTCTTCGGAAAAGTCCAACTTTAACCGTTTTTGCAATTTTTTCAATTGTTTTCACTTTTCTCGAAAAATACCCTGCAAAATTTGAGATTCAGAGTTCTATAGAAAAAACAGGTTATGGGAATCTTCCCTGCATAAGTGAGTCAGCGGCAAATTGTTCCTCCTTAATTTTGTGGAAAAATTGTTCTGAACTTAATAGTCAAAATTTTGAGATTTCGATAGTTTTTGGAAGTTTTTTTTCTCAAAAGCTGCCCTGACAATTCTGAGCTTGAGTGTTCAGTTCAACAGAAATAGTTCAGAGAGCTTTCCTGTACAACAGGCTGTTTCCTCTTTTTTTTTAGAAAACTGGTAGGGCCTTAGGAAAAACTTAAAGAAATTTTTCCACCTTTCTTGAAACCTACCCTGTAAAATAATCTTTCTTTGATTTCAAATGAAAGAACGGGTATTAAGACTCTCACTTACATAAGCTGCTTTTGATTTTAGGAGAGCAACCACTAAGGTTTTGGGAAAAGCCCATGTTTTGAAATTTTGTAAATAACGCATTTCATGCATCAGTACAACATATTCTAAATTTATCAAACAGGTATCTCCAGCTTTAGCTGAACCCTAGATTTTTGCATCTTAAGATACCTGTTTTATTAAACAAGAATTCTTTTTCATTTTACCAGAAAAACAGTATCTATAAATTTTTAATTAACCTAAAATGCGCTGCTTTTTAAACCGATTTAGATGTTCAAGGTCACCGATACTGCTTTCAATTTGGCATTAACTAAATATGTATGTGTTTGAATTGCATGTGTAGGTCGATGTGACTGTGGCCAAGACAGTGTACCACGTGAACAGACTGCGGGAGATGAGTCCCTTGTGGGAGATGGTGCAAGAGGGCATTGACCTCAAGACCATCAAGTGGACACAACACTAGAGATGGGCTAGTCAGACAGACAGACTAGTCAAATTCAGAACCATCAGACGCAACCATCGAAACATTTTGCTAACTTTGTACTTGCAGTACCGAAGTAAATTTGTACCGAAGTAAAATTGAAAACTCCATGTGAGTTCAATGCTGCCGATCTTAATGATAATTTGAGTTCTTAAGAATAATTGCACTGTTAATTTAGACTGTGCGACTTGAAACCGATGGTGTGTATTTATATCTTAACTGTAATTCTCAGTTTCTATAGATTTCGGCGGCTGAGAGTAATTATATGCATAAATAGATGGATAATGATTGGTATTGACTATCGATAAAACCAAATGCTACAGAAAGATAAAACTGATATGATCTTTTCGTTGATTGAATTGTTTGCTGTTAATGAACGATAGAGTAAATTATTTTGTTGCTGAAATAGAAGTTAGTTCATTCCAACGTTTTTATCATGGCCGTTGCCATCAGCAAGGTTGTTGCTAACGGATGCTAGACTTTCTCCACGTTACAAACTTGATTCACAGAAGTTACAAGCCAGTCTTGTTATGTTCCCAATGGAATTAATTTTTCCAATGGTTGATCTTCATATTTTTAACTTTTATTCACAGAAAAATTAAAAAAGCATTATTTTTTTCCAATGGTATTAATGTTCCTCGTCAGTCTCCCGGTTGAGGATTTTTGCGACATGCACCGGCCGAGTAGACCGGTGTTCGAGTTGCGTAGGGGTGGGTTTTGGTGGTAGTCGAACAAGTGATCGTTTTGTGGGATGCAAGAGAACAGGTGGGGTATATTGTACAAATTGAGCTGTCTAGACGGGAGACGCACCGGATTTGGGTGAGCTTACAGTGAGTAGTTCTGAGATGGGATTGTTTTGAAGAGTCAATAATTGGGGAAGGGTACAGATAGCCTTACACTTAAGGGTATGGGCAAGGAGCTTGGATACTTGCCTTGTGTGATTCAGCTTTAAAATTGATTTGAGTTGGTTAGAAACAAAATTAGAGACTTGGTATTGGTTATGACAACCGAAGGATCGATTTTAGCTGAACGGATGGTTGAAAAACAACTCATAAATATATTTTTCGTCAAGAAAAACATTCAATTTTCAGACTAAATAAGACGAGAATGACTGTTCAAAACATCTAGCTGTTGGTGAGAGGCTGTCATCCCCACTTATTTCTTGTTTTACAATTTTAACTTAATTTTAGTTATTACTACCTCTCACTCAGGGGCGGATTTAGGTGGGAGGGGGGGCGGACGCCCCCCCCCCCTCAGGGATTCGACCCCCTGCCGACCCAAAGGGTCCCCCCTTTGATACTTTTTAAGAAATCCATTTTTGGCCAACCGACCCTAAAAATGTTCTATAGGCGCCTTCGGCGCCAATATATACTAATTTTGAGGGGGGAGCGAGCGCCGAAAAAACGCAATTTTTCGGTCAAAATTTTCCAAAAAGTGCCTAAAAACGCCTTTCTGACCTGTTTTTTCAAAATTTTGCCTGCTGCGCAAAAAATTTGGCCAAAATAGGGACAAAACCGTGCTTTGGGAGAGCTCGAAGAATCAATTTGGTCGACCTAAAAAAAAAGGTCGTCAAAATTTTCGAAAATTTTTTGAAAATCCGCCCCCCCCTCGAGAAAATCCTAGATCCGCCCCTGCTCTCATCACTGCAGTTTTTTGAAGCCTAATGAGTTGCCCTTCACTGCAAAAAATTACAAATTAGAAGACATCGAAACAAATTTCCTTTGAATTTCTTTTCATATTACCCTTGCAACAAGCAAGAGTATTGCAATCTCGTACTGCACTCTTTTTGCCCGTAAATAAGTTGTTCACGCGACCCTTCTCCTGGACTCATTCATCTACCGGGCCTTTCTGTTGCAAAAGACATATTTTGAGCATATTAGGGTTTTAAATATCGCGTTTAATCGAAATTTGCTTTATGTTAATTGTAATTTTACCACCTAGGTTTGTCAATTTTTTTTTGTCTTCTATCGGCTAATAGGCTTCGGCTTATTTTGTATCCACTTAGTGGCCTCTTATTGCGTCTTTTGATGACGGAAAGTTTGTGTGTCTGTATGTGATCTTAGGGGAAGAGGGACTCAGTAATTTTTTAATTCATCTGGAAGTTTTTTTTATCGTCATTAAGGGTTTCTGTTCAGGTTTTTTGGCTTCATTACCGCTTGGCAATTATATATTCAAATTCAATCAATCATCCAGCGCCTCTGGTGTAAAGGTTACACAAATGCTGAGACGGCAAAGGTTTATAGTTCGAATCCTGCCGGGTTCTTTGCTTTTTTGCAAAATAGAGTTTTTATGCTTTTTTGGACTATCGTCTGTTTATTTTTGACGGCTTAATTCCCGTAGCCGGAATTTTTTTTGAAGGTTCAGCTTCCTTCCAAGTTTCTTTTGCAAGCATGCTTGAGGCGACAACTCGGAGATTCGATTCCAATCGAGACATGCTTTTTTGCGAACTGAAAATTGATAGGTAGTTTTTTGTCTCAGCTTATTTTTTTCGGCTTAGTTCCGCAGAAGGACTTTTTTTGAAAGTTTGACTTCTCTCTTGCATTCTGAAAGCTCCTTAATAAATTTTTAATGGTGCAGGTAACTTTGTTCCGGATACTTTGGGAGTTAGTTGCAATTTTTATATTTTTTATTGACAAAAACGGTTTTTGGAAGGTTTTTCTTCAGTTTTTTTATTTTTCATTTGATTTTAATCATAGTCATTCATTGTCGCCCCCTCCTCAGAAATTCGACACCCTGCCGACCCAAAGGGTCCCCACTTTGTACTATTTTCAGATAATTTTTGGTGACGGACCCTAAAAGTTTTCTAAAGGCGCCTTCGGTGCCAATATATACTAATTTTAAAGGGGAGCGCGCGCCGAAAAAACGGCGATTTTTTGGTCAACGTTTTCCAAAAATTGCCTAAAAGCTCCTTTTTTGTCATGTTTTTTTTCAAAATTTTGCCTGCGGCGCAGAAAATTTGGTCAAAATGGGTCTTTGTAGTGATTTAGGAGAGCTCAGAAAATCAATTTGGTCGACTTAAAAAAAAGGTAGACAAAATTTTTTGAAACTCCGCCCCCCTCCCCTCGAGAAAAACCTAGATCCGCCCCTGCCTATGATTAAGGTTTAGAATTGAAGTATGTTTTCTAGATGAAGCTCTCGTTGCCCAGTCATAGATTTATAACTCTTCGAAGATACTTCTTGAGCTAATACATTGTTTATCTACTTATAGGGTCGTTTTTGCTTTAAATCATAAATCTCATTTTGCAACAATTTGTTTCAGATCAATTAAATGTAAATTGAGTGTCGTACCACCGAAAGTTTACTAACTTAGACCTAGTTCGTTAGAACGTGACATCTCGTTAAACACACCTGGAAAGAAGCCAGTTCAGAAATGGATCTTAATGAGACATACGACATCGAAGCGGAGATCGAAGCCGAACTAGCTAAGATCCCTGATGACGAAGTGATCTTAAGTGACAATGAGAATGACGAGACAGTAGATGTCACAAGGGTGTCCGACATAGTGACTGAGGGCTGGTCATCTGAGGAGGCGACTCCTGGAACTTCCCCAGAGAAGAAAACCACAGGTTCTGGAACACAGGAAACAGAACCAGTGACGTCACTCGACGAGGTAAGTTTGATATTTTATTGCTACTTGTTTAAGCACTGGAATTGTTCGTGTTTTTGTTTCTCTATGAACTCGGCCTGTATAACTCCTGTTAGCCTCTTCGAAAATTTTGGTCTAATTTCTCTCTTGCTCCAGCTTTTCGTGCTTGCAGCAACTATGACTCTCAAAAAAACAACGTTGAATGACTTTTGACTCAAATTTCAGCAGCAGCATTCGAGATTAATGTGACGTCATGTGCTGCTTTAGGACGAGGATGTGTCTGTGATTTGGAGTAAACTGTGTGCGGGCGACGAAGTGGCCAGTCAACTGAGAGCGGACTTGGAGGACTGCAGCAAACTACTACTGGACGCTGAAAAAAGTCAGTTTTATTAATGAATGTTGTAAAATAAGCTGATACTATTTTTGTTAAGGCAGTTAGATACTCTTAGAAAACCTGCGTGTTTGATACCTTATGATATTACCCTTGCGATTTTTACCCGTAAACAACTTTGTCCACGGGACTCATTGGACTTATTGAACTGGTGGTACCTTGGTTCATAATTGCTTCAAATTTTGTAGTGTCTCTTGCACGCTTAGCTTGGTGTTAACCAAAACGCCTGGGAGGGCAAAGGTCCTGAGTTCGAATCTGATCAGAACCCGTTTTTTCAAACGGTAATTGTTCCGGTTCAAAAAAATTTTGGCCTATTATTTGTCAGCTTATATTTTGTCGGCTTAGTTGTCACATCTAAGAATCGTTTATTTTAGCTGTGAAAAATTAACCCTGCAGTTTAAAATCCGGCCGAATCGAAATTTGCTCTTCACAGTGGTTGTAAATTAACCAGCTCGATTTGGTAAAATTTCACTTCTTTTTTCATTTTTTTCGTCTTTTTAATCGGCTTGATAAAATGTTAATATTTATATTGACTTAGTTAGCCTCTTTTTGCGTCGTTCCGTCCGAAAAAAAATTTGCGCGTGCGCTCTGACGGTAAAAGGGACTTGACATTTTTTGTAAGTTTAAAATTTTTCTGAATTTCTCGGCATGAAGGGTTTCTGCTCAGGTTTTTTTTGGCTTTGTTACCGCTTGGTTATTGTAAATTCAAATCCAATCAATCATCCGGCGCATCTGGCGTAGAGATAAAAACAACTGCTTGAGATGGCAAAGATTTGCGGTTCGAGTTCGGCCAGGCCTTTTTTTGTAAACTACAGTTTTTGTGCTTTTTCGGATTATCATCCGTCTGTTTATTTTTCTCGGCTTAGTTCCCAAAGCTCGATGGCTCAGCTTTATTCCAAGTTGCTGTTACCCCCTTGTTTGAGACGACAAAGCACAAGAGTTCGTTTTCAGTTGAGACTTGTTCTTCTTGCAAATAAAAATTTTTGGATAGTTTAGATTATTCTATGTCTGCTTATTTGTGTCTGCTCAATTCCGCAGAAAGGACTTCGTAGAGTTTCTAATGGTGCAGTTAATTTTGTTCCGGATATTTTGGGATTTTGTTGCAATTTTTATTGACAAAAACGATTCTGTGAATTTTTTGCAATCTGGAGTTTTTGTGCTTTTACTGATTATCGTCCGCAAAGCTTGTGTGACAATAGGAACTCTCTTTTTTTCCAACCTAAACAGCAACTGTTCGTGTTCTTTTTGAAAGTGTTCGTTTTGATTAATAACCAGCTAGTAAGTGCAGCCAATGCTAAGAATATTAACACAGACTAGTATATTACCAATAGCACTTTAGCTTCAAGGTATCATGGATTTGTAGCGTAGAGGTAAGGAAGGAGACCAGTAAAAAATAAGAGGGTTCGAACCTGGGCAGTGCCAGATGTCTTAATGAAATTTTTCGTATACTAGTTAAAATGCGTCCCTCTATAAACTGGGGTTTGTTAGTTGGTAAATTTTTTTTTTTTTCAAATTCACTGTTACTGCTAATGCGTCATAATTGGCTCGTGTCACTTAAAAATCTTGTAGACTCATAATTGGCGTGCGTCACCTTGGAAATTTTGTAGACTCAAAGTTTTACTCATTCAGTTTTTCCCATTATCATCATATTTTCGCTTGTTTATGCGAAGTGCAACTTCGCCTCTGTGTTATTTTTGTCGGCTTAGTTACCGTAGCTTGATGGTTCGGCTTTATTCCAATTTGCTGTATCCAGTATGCTTGAAACGACAAAGCATGTGTGTTCGGTTTCAGTTGAGACTTTTTTCTTGCAAAATTTTTTTTTGGCCAATTTCGATTATTGTATTTCTGCTTATTTTTGTCTTGTCAGTTCCGCAGAAAGGACAAAAACGGCAAGAACCGTTATTGACAAAAACTTTTTTTGTTCGATTTTCATAAAATTCATGTTTGCATCGCAAGTGGTGCGAAGCTAAGCTTAGCCTCTGTGTAGAATAGTGATATAGATGATATTAAAAGTGCTAAATACTGTTTGAGTTTCTATTTTCTCGAATGAAAAAAATCTTCGGCTCTAGTTAAAATGATTATAACATCGGTTTTTTGTTGCAGAAATCAGCTCACTGGAAGATGCTGAGTATTCTCTGGAAATATCAGAATTGGCTAAAAAGCAAGGCAAGACGCCAGACGAGCTGAAACGAGAGGTAAACATTGGGCTCCAGGACATTTCTGTTATCTAAATGTTACTAATTTGTTTTGTGCTTAAGATATTAAAAGACGTGGAAAAGTTGGAACAGGAACTAGAAATAGAAGCTAACAAAGCCGACGAAGCAGAAGAGCTGCTGAAACAGCAACAACAAATGAATGAGACCTCCAACGAGCCCGAGGAACATCTGGAACTTGTAAAGCTTCATCAGAATGAAAATAATCAGCAATCTCAACCAACAACATCGGACTATTTTGATAAAGATAGTTTGGTACTAGTTCCATCTAAACAAAGCAACAGGATCAGTATCAGTTCGTATGGAGGAACATCAGTAGTTCCAGGCACTCCTCTGGGTTCCCTGATGTCTGGATTTGGAAGTTTGAGAACTCCAACCTCCGCCTCGACTGGAAGGCCAGATACGATGATGAGCACTGGTCGTATGAGCAGTTTAGCAGTCGAATGGGAACAGTTTTTAACTGAGGTCGAGCAAGGTCAGTTCTTCATCTGGAAGTTCTGCTGAGTGTGAAGCAATGTTGTCGTTAATCTAAATTTGAGATCAAGTGCTTTAAGCTTGGTTCGGTTGCAGTTTTGCTCACTGTTTTTGAGGATTTCAAGGGTAGCACTTGTTATTAATTAATACACGAGCAAATAAATATAAACATAACAATTTTCAACATTAAGTGGACGATTTCTAGACCTTGAGTGAGTTTTGGGTTCTAATTATGTTGAATTTGGTTTTGTTGCGAATGAGTGTTGGTTTGTAGAAATGGAGCAGAGTACTCAGCAGCAACTAGAAGCAGTGGACTTGGAGAGAGAGGCGTTCAGAAGACTGCTGGACCTCCATCGGAGTCAGAGGAGGGAGGACCGAGGGAGGGCAGCCAGGATGCTCAAGTACAACAAGAGGGCTAAGGAGATGGGGCTGGAGAGCAAAGAGAGGAGAGAGGGGGAGAGGAGGAAGTTGGAGGGGGAGAAGGCTCTGTTGGAGCAGGCCAAGAAGGTACTTCATTCTTAGACGCGTATTCGTCAAATTTCAAAGACAATCAACTTTGTGTAGCTTATCTTGATAGCGGTCGTCGTTTTAAACTACCGTCAAATTACTTTGCGATGGAAAGAATCTCACAAGCCAGATTTAGTGGATCCGTATTGTTTCGATGAGTTGAATACCATTATCGTTTTTTTTCTTTGTTTCGATAAACTTCATTTTGTCTTAACCTACTTAATGCAAGGCGAAGAAGTTTTGAAAGATTGGTCGCCATCATTTCAGAACTACGATACGCAACGTTTGGCATGTGAGATGTTATGCCAAAATTTTGAGCAAGTTTCTGTTAAAAACGGCGCCCATTATCAATTCCTTTGAAAAGTTTTAGTATTGTTCACTGAAACCATTGTTGTTTCCAGGATCTGTTGACGTCAGTCGAGGAAGAAGAGAAAGAAACGCAGAAAAAATTGTTGCAATTGGAAACTGAGCACAAAGTAAGTGTAACACTTGACCTGCTGTTTAAATCCTTGATCATTTAGTTTTTATCGAGCTTGGGATTTTCTAGGAGTACATGAGACTGAAGGCAGAGGCTCTTGATAAGGAGAGGAGTGAGTTCCTGAAGATCCAACGGGAGTTCGAGAAGGAGACGAGAGAGAAGAGAAATGCGGCTGCCACCAGGATACAGAAACTCTACAGGGGAATGATGTAAGTATAAGAAGAAAATACCCCATACATTATAGCCTATGCTATATTGCACGTGAGATAAGCAAGGTTTAAGAGATATAAGACCACGATTCATGATTTAAGTTAGTGCGTTCGGGGTTACTGCGATATGCAGTGCTTTAAAATTATGGCATCTTGAATAAGATATTTTAATGGACGAGTTTAACAGGAGTTAAAGACTTTTTAACCTCAGCCAAAATGAAAAATTCTTTAACTCCTGTGAAATTCGTTCACTAAAATATCTTATTCGAGGTTTTTATAGTAGACTATTAAAGCATGAAGAGGTATTACTGTTCAGGTCTCGCCAGAAGTACCGTCTGCTGATCAAATTGCGCAAGAAGAGAATGGACGAGTGGAGGGCGATGAGAGAGGCAGACGCCATTGCAGAATTGGCTCTGAAGAAGAGAGAGAAGACCAAAGTAGACGAAGAGAAACGGGCCAAAGAGGCAGCTGCGAAAGCTGAGAGGGTGAGCCATGCATTCATCTTAAGTATTATATTCTGCTTATTCATCCCAAGTTCCTTCGTTGAGATAATTGAATGGATGGAAAAGGGAGATGAAATTATTAGACTCGTTACGGGATTCAAGATTTGTGTTATAGCTCTTTTGTTGCTAAGTCTAAGTTGTAGATAGCATCTCCAGGTTTTAATTGCGCTCAAGTTTCCAGTGCAAATGGCAAATTGACTGGACGACGTTATTTTATTTAAAAATCATCCTTATAGATCATATTTAATACAGTTGACATAGATATATTTTTAAAGTCATGCTCACAGATCAAATAATCGAAAAATGTTGTTCATTAGCTTCCAAACATTTTGTTCAGTAGAATCACTAAGAACCAAAAAAATTATAATGCGTTATGTTATTCATTCAGCAGCTCACCTGTTGTTTGGGAAGATCCAACTAAATACTCAAATCGGGAGTGTGATGATTGTTTTGTTTGAACTCAACTGATCATCTCTCTCTAATTTGCCCTTCTGTTACTGCAGGTGAAGAAAGAGAATGAGGAGGCGAAGCTGAAGATCAAGCGGGAGGAGGAGGAGAGAAAGAAAGAGAGGGCGGAGAAGAGGAAGAGGAAGACGGAAGAGAGAATCAAAGAGTTGGCAACCACACAGGAAGTCGATCAGGTTCGATTTTCTTTTGTTTTTGCCCATTATTCAGACAGTTCTCAAAGTAAAGATTATGACACACAGATTATGAATTTCACAAAAAGACACTGGACTCTAATTTAAATCTGCACTTAAACATTAATTTAGCTATGATTGCCTCTCATTTTTGCAGGACTTAGCCTAATTCAATTGCTCTATATATATAAAAAAAAAAATTCAAATTATGCACGCATAAATCGAAGGAGTTCTCATCCCTATTGTGTATACATTGCTTACAGATAAGAAGAAAGAGATCTATATTTACACAATCGAGCAGCTAGTGTATTAGTATGAACCTTTTTTCTAACCTAACTCGAAAATAAAATAGTTCACTTATTTGATGGCACTTTTAGCGTTGGAAATTATTGTTCTCTGCTTTTTTTTGTAATTAGTGTTTGTGATGCATTGAGCGTATGTGGCTGAGTGTTTAGTGCGTGAGACTCATAATATTTAGGTCATAATAGGTCGCAGCTTGAATAGGAGACGTAGCCGCATTTTTACTAATTCGACGTTTTATTGCTACTGTTTTTGCACTTTATAGAGCTGCTTTTTGCCGTGTTCTCGCTAGTGTTTGCGAAGCGAAGCTTTGCTTCTATGGCGACTTTTGGAATGTTTTGAAATAGACTTCCTCAAACAAGCAACCATTGATTTCGAAAAAGCGGCCAGAATTGCATTTATTTCAAAATCTGAAAACAAAAAACCCAATACTGCTACTTCATGTGTGCCACAGCGTCTGGCGTCTTATTCTATCTAATGGAAGCTCAAATAACTATAGGAGTGATTTAGAATTCCGTGAGCCTGAATGCTACTTAGTACCGCTTTCTTGCCAGTGAGTGATGTTTCCAGTGCCTTTCAAAGTTCCGGAAGACATAGCCCACGATAGCCCAGACAATATTTGACTACCTTGAAGATATTTTGTTGGTGGACTCTCGGCGCCGAATGGAGAACGTAGTCAAAACGATTCGTCGGTGACTACTAGAATTGCCATCAGCGTTTTAGAACCGGGCGTCCAAAAATGCAGTTGAAGGCTGTAATTGCAATTTCGTTAAACTGGTCAACGCAAATCAACCTTCATTTCCAAAGCTCATCGAAAGAACAGAATGCCGAAATCCTGATTCAAAATTTTATCCCGTTATAAAATCAGCGTTGTTTAACTTGCTAAAAACCGAGTTATTTGCAGCGGCAGCAATATCAAATAATGATTGCTATTCATTATTCAAAGCAGTAAGTTTCAATATCGAGCTTGATCCGGACAAAATGATCGATTTAATTAAGCTTTTCCCATCTTTTTCGATTTTAACCTAACCAAGTCGAGTCTTTTCGACTTGGGCCTATTTTTCTCGTTTTCAGGTTTTTCATTATGGAAATTTCAACCGAATTGCGAAAATGTTTCTGAGCCGAGATTTGAAGTTGTGACCTTATGATCTTGAAACCAATATTTTCACCGCTCAGTCAAGCGCTTGTTAGTGTGTCCATTGTTTCTTATGGAATTTTCGCCTCACTTTGACTGTTCCATAGTTATTGGTTAATCATAAAGTCTAATTATAGAACGATCAAACAGAAGCAAAATATCAAAGCTTTAATGATCTCAAGGACAAGTCAAGAATTTATTTTTGGATAATTTTATCAGGACACAAATGACAATGCACCGTGTTAGATGCTCTTGAAAAATTCAGCAGTGTGCTGGTTGCTCTGAAAATTATATTATCACTTTTTGCAGCCGAGTTCATTAAATTTTCAGTTTTTCTTAGCATTTAACAAAGTTGCAATAAAAATGCTTCAGTTTTTTCTAGTCAAACAACCCACTTGAAGACATTTTTACGGGAAATTACAAACAGTAACTCATTAAAAAAATTATTTAACTTATTTTCACGTTTTTGGTTGTCTTGTCGTTTTTGTGTTGGGACAAAAAAAAATTTGGACCTGATTATCGTTGGTTTTATGGTTTTATGAAGATTGATAAAAGTTCGGCTAGAATTGATATCCTACCTCTCGAATTGAACTGCAAACGTTTCAGGTCAGAACTTATGTTACCTAGCAATCAAAATTTGTGTGCCGTTTCAGCTAGAATTGGAGCAACAGGCGATAGAAGTGATCGAAAAGCTACGATCAGATGAGAAATCGAAGGTCGAGAAGAAAGTAGACAGACTGAACGAACAGAAGAAGCAGGGAGGAGGCAAGAAGAAAAACAAAAACAGCAAAGACATGAAGCCAAACCAATCTGAAGATACCGAAAATACTACTGCGGACGAAAGTGTTCATTCTCTCGCCACAATAGACGAAGAACAAGAAAACAAAAACAACAAAGTTGACGGTGCCTCGATAGACCACGATGAAGAGAAAGAATCCAATGACCTCGAATCATCAGGTGTTGACGGGGTTACTGTTAGTTCCAATACAGTTCCTCGTGATGTTACTTCTCAAAGTGAAACTACTAGTAGTAGTTTAACAGAAGTTACGCTGATGGCAAACATTGCGAAAGAAAGTAGCGACTTTGCTCAAGCTAATCTAGAAACAGAGAATGACGTTACTGAGGTTCCAGATGATATTGACGAGGACAACGACACGGCGGTTGAAAATGATCTGACTATGGGTGATTTAGAGGAGAAAGGAGACTCGAAGTTTGACTTCAACACAGAGATAAACAATCTCATTGAGCCAGAAAAGGCTAATGATGAAAATAAACAGACTAACCCAATTGAAAGTTCAGAAACTAATCACAAAGGAGATGATAAAGTCGCTCTAGATAATGAAAAGAAAGGCAGTTCGGGCGGCGCTCATGGAATGTTTGTGGTTAATGATGCGCCTGAAAATTCAGATAGCAATGAAAGCAATCAACAGGAAAAAAATGATGTATCTATTTCATCTGACAGACGAAACAAAAATAGCGAAAATGTTGGTGCTGTCCAGCTTGTAGATAAACAACAAGCTGAATTTACTGGAGGCGGTAAAATTAGTTTTGATATTTACGATAACTCAACTAAGGAGAACCCTAAAGCTTTGATTGAACCCGAAGAATTATCAGAAGCAAATGAAAACTCGCATCAGATTTTGCCGAAATATCCACAAGTAGACGACACAGGGCATACTCGAGGAGGAAGCGTGGATTCACATATCGTAGACCACAAAGATAAGGAATTGACTAAAAATTCGTTGCCTAGTCAAAATTCGCAATCGAAAATTGAGCGAACAAAAAGTGCAACAAAACGAGTATCGTTTGAAGAAAACGAAGTTAACGGAATTGAATCATCCGAAAAAGCTGAAAACAAAACCGATCGAAAATCTGAGGAAGGTAATTTAAATAACGACTTGGCTAAACAAAGTAGTGAACCTGAAATAGTTGCGCAAAAGAATAATTTCGAAAAATCGTCGCCTATCAAAACATCAAGCGAGAGAATGAATAGGAACGAAGAGCAGTCTGAGAAAAGTCTGGACCCGGAAGAGGAGAAGCAAATTAAGGAAGCCAATGCACTGTGGGCTGTGTTAGAACAGAGGAGGATCCAGTGGATGTCAGACTGCATCCCCTGGACTAAAATCAAAACGGTGCAGAAACAGGCACAGAGCACTGCCAAAGCACGCATGCCAATGTAAGTAACAGATAAAATCTAGCCAAGGATTCTTTTCATAGGTGGGTATTTGATTTTCGTGTTAGATTTGCAAGAGCTGACAAGACAAAAAACGCCTCATCTGGTAAAAACTTTCTTGGGCTTGGGCGACTTTCTGAAGTTTAAAAAAAAAATCTTTCTAATGTGGACGTGCGAGATAGATGAAGCTGGACTTCGATGAATACTAAATAATCCTTAATAAAAATTTGTTTCTTTTTAAATTATATGCAGTGTTTCAGAAATGAGAGTTGAAACCATTTAGTTCGATTATCATTAAGCTTCAATGAAAGTATTACTGACTGTTTTCTTTTCAGGAGGAGTGCAGCCTCGAGGAAGCTGAAGACGATTCCTCAAGATGTTCTGCTAAATGGAGCAATCGGCCATGCCACTGCGCTGAGCGACGTTAGTTCTATTCAAAATTTGGTTCGCATGATAACTTAATCAGTTTGTGGTCAAACTTTTGTATCACGATTTTCCATAAACGGGTCTATTTGAGTAGACAATGGAATCATTTATGCTGCATCCGATTAAGCTAAAATACTCGGGCTAAAAACAACAACAACAACAACACTATCTTAAATTACTGGGTGATGTAGGTGCAGACGGTGGTACTGCAAGACCTGCCTGGCTACAATCTGGAGCCATTCAACAACTGCCCCCTGCTGCAGTACTTGGTGCTGGACTCGTGCAATATTCTCTCGCTAGAGGGACTGTCAAATTGCACCAACCTCAAATTCCTACACGCCAAGGTACGAATTCATAGGCAAAAAATATGGTACTCGTAAGTTATGTTTGCAGTTGTTTTTTCATTTGAGGAAATGGTTTAAAGAATCAGAGGAATAGTTTAAATGTTTGGTTTGTTATTGCTATCCGCCATGGAGAAAACCATAATTAACAATTAATGAATGTGTAATTTATGACTTTTATTGAATAACTAGATAAATATCATTTTTGCCAATAAACCATGCTAATCTGTGCTGACTTGTAGGGGTTTTAGAAGTATCTAATTGGTTAATTTATCTTTCAGCACAACAAGTTGGAGAGCTTATACTTGGGTGGGTTGGATCAACTGATTGAGCTGGACGTGTCCTCCAATCGCATCTCTAGTCTGGCTGGACTGGACGGGTGTTCCAATCTTCGCATCCTCAACCTCATGGACAACAAAGTATCCAGACTCGGTAAGCAACAAATTTGAAGTATTTATAAAAGGAGGTAACATTCAAATGACAAAGTAATGAGATTTTTGAACCTTCTTTTGACGATCCTCTGAACAGTTTTATATAAAACACAATATATAATGTCAAGTAAACCTAGGCTACAGTTAGTCAATTTTTCAGCGGTTGTTTTCAGGCTCTCTCGTTGGTTTGAAGAATCTACAGCAGCTAAACATCTCAGCCAATCAACTCATCTCAACTAGAGGTCTCTCTATGATCTCCACTCTGACGTCACTAGATGTATCAGCCAATCACATCACAGCACTGGAGGAGGTTGAGTCTCTAGCTCTGCTGCAAACACTGATTGCTTCTAAAAACTCAATCCAAGAGGTAAATTTTTGGGCTCACTTTGCAAAGAGCAATTTATAATTAATGATCAGACAAATACTCCCTCCGGTACTTTTTAAGAAATGCATTTCTGGCCGACCGACCCTTAAAATTTTCTAAAGGCGCCTTTGGCGCCAATATATACTAATTTTTAGAGGGGAGCCTTTTTTGGACTATTTTTTCAAAATTTTGCCTGCGGCGCAGAAAATTTGACCAAAACAGGGACTAAACCGGGCTTAGGGAGAGCTCGAAAAATCATTTCGGTCGACCTAAAAAAAGTCGACAAAATTTTCGAAAATTTATGAAAATCCGCCCACCCCCTCGAGAAAATCCTAGATCCGCCCCTGACTCCCTCTAATATACGCAAATCTTTCAAACTGGTGAGCGATGAACATAGTTCGAATCTTATTGCACTTGCGAGCTTTAACGAGCGTTATGCATCAGCACGAATATTCTTTTTTTTCAACCTAAGTCGCAAATATTGCCACTTTTGGTTGGTGGCACCTTAACGGCATTTTGATAGCATGTGCTTTGGCATTCGATTATGGAAAAATTAGAACAGTTGATGCATTTTTCATTCATCAAATAAACCAAAAAAAGTTATTTGTTTCAAAGAACAGTACAATAGTATAAACTCGATCGAAAATTTTACAACTCATTTTATCTCGCAATATTTCTGAAATACACAATTACCCTTGCGGTAAGCAAGGATGCGGTAAGCAAGGATGTTGCAATAGGATACTAGATTTTTCACCATCAATAACTTTGTTCAAAGGACTCATTCATCTGGCATGCTCTGAAAACTAAAATAAAACTACTATCACTCAAATAGTAATTAATTAAAGCCCGTTTCATGTTGTAATTATATTGAGAACTTTGTCTCCTTTTTTTTTTACTGGTTTATGGTTTTTATCCTAGTTTCTCTCGGTTCATTTTCCGGTTTCTTAAACGCCAATTTTTAAAAATCTTGTAGGGTTTTTATTAGCTTACTTTTTTTAGCATGGGTTTTGTTCCAATTTAAACAGTAATTACTTAAATTGAAAATTATTAAATTTGTAAATTTACCAAGTCTGAAGTTGCCGCTCGGTGAATGATTTTGGTTTTTAAAGACTGAATTTCATCCAATACAAACATGAAGTTTTTGTAGCTGTAATTTTTAAATTTTATCCAGGTAATTTTTTCCACCTTAATTTTTCAGAATTTTTTCGACTGCTGTCTTTTTTTTCCATTCACTATCTTGTAGCACAATGCTTATCATTTTTGCCTTGATACATAATATGGCTTTATGCTTTCCATTTTTTTATGTAAAGATAATGTAAATGCCCAGTTTCCAGTTTATATTCCAGTTTCCAGTTTGTTCCAGAGTAATGAACGTAGAGAGTACTCTTATATAGGTCTTGCTGAATTTTTTATTTGTTTTTGTTTCAGGAAAAAGTCTGAAATATTGTTCACGCTCAGTTTTGATTTTTCGAGGTTTGACTTGTGATTTCTTTCTAAGTTCAGTGCCTTTCCATTGTTGAAAAGAAGGCAAACTCCACTATCGAACAGCAAAGGTGTAAAGATCACGAAAAACGTGATCGACTTCTGATTTCGAAAATGGAAAAATTAAATATCAAATTTACAAGCGAAATAAAAGTTTCACGTATTAATCCAGTTTTCTCAAATGTGGTTAATTTTAACAAAAAAAGTGTCTTCACTAAATTGTTCTGCAAAATCGAATTGCTTTAAAGCCATCTATTTTTTTTTGAAATTGAAAAGTTGAAGGCTCTTGAAAAAACAATTCAGATTTTTTTCAGTTTTCCTGCGTTCATGACTCTTTTTCAACTGTTAGTTGGCTATGTTTAGTAATTATTACATGCAAAATTTGTATTTGGTGCCACTTTTACTGCATCGAGGCAATTTATTAGCATATGTATCTGCTTTATTGGTGGCTAGTGTTAGTAAATATTTAAGGGCCCATGTTACAGTTGCGAGGACATGGGACTCTTAATCTCCTGGTCGTACGATTGAATTCGCCGCAGCCAATATTTTAACTTTCAAGGCTTATTTTTACCTTTTCTCACTTGAGCAGCTTCTGTTTTGACGTTTTCTCGCTAGCGTTTACGAAGCGCAGCTTGGCTTCAGTATATAAGTCGTGATGTTTATTTGTTTTTTTTTCAAGAAAATTCTTAAAATTCGTTCAGGTGCAAAGTTTTTTTGTGGTTTGACTTTTGATTTTTTAAGTTCATTGTTTTTTGTTAGAAGGGAATCAAACTCCACTATCGAGCAGGAAAAGTGTAAAGCTTACGAAAAACTTGATTGTCTTCTAGTTTCGAAAAGAATCGATGCACCTAGTTAGACTTTTATATAGGTCGTGATGATTTTTTTTCGTCCTTTTTATCAGGAAAAGTCTTAATATTAGTGCAGGCTCAATTTTTTTTCGCAGTTTGGCTTTTGATTTCTATTTGATTAATTTGATTGACTTATAGTTTAAACATTTTACTTATGATCCAGTTTTCTGAAATTGGGTTAATTTTATCGAAAAAAGGTCGATCACGAATTATTCTGGAAGTTCAAAGAGCTTTAAGTCATCTATTTTTCCTCGAAGTTCGAAACTTGAGAAAATCAAGTTTTTTTTTGATTTTTTTTGTTTACTTGCGTGCACTGACTCTTTGCCAACTTTCTGTTGACTGATCAGTTTCCCAGCAAAATAAAGAGTTTACTTATTGATCCCGTTTTCTCAAACTGAGTTAATTTTATCGTTTCAATCATAAATTTTTGTTCAAAGAGAAATTCGAGTTTTGGGCCATCTAATTTCTACTTTGAAAATCGAAATTTGTGGTCGGTTCTTCTCAGCCGATTGTCCTCCCGATGCGGCTGAGCGTTTTCTTAGATATATTTTCTTTTGCACTATGCAAATGAGCGCAATTGGTAGTGATCACGAATTCTTCGAACGCTTTTCTCTGGTATGCCCGAGGCCCATGATAGGGTCTAGCTGGATCTCGTAAGCTCAACTCAATTACTAGTCTTTTAGCCATCGACATTCAAGCAACACAGTTGAACCCGATGAAAGCTTGATACGCAGAGATTAATTCAAATTATTTCTTTCTCGAAATATTTCAAAAGTGGAGAAAGGTACTGATGGATTCAAAAGGGCACTTTTGTCGGTTTTTTATTACCTTTTATTTGAGCAGGATGTCTGTTTTCCTCAGAGGTGAAACTAATTTCTGTTCCTTCCAGATGCCCCGTCTGTCCAACAATGTGCTGCTGAGATACCTGGACTTGGCTTCCAACTGTCTATCAAGTGCAGCCACTCTGTCCCTCTGCTGGCTACCACTGCTCAAATCTTTCAACATTTCAACCAACGCGTAAGTATTTTTAGAGAATGCAATAGGGAAAAAAAACAAAAACAAATAATTCAAAATCTTGAGAAGTCTCCAGTTCTAGCCTTGTTGACCGGATGTTGGCCAATTGTTTTGATTGTTTTGAAATCGAATTGATTGCATACTTCTTGCAGCAGGTTGTTTTGAGGTTGTTTATTGAAATAAACCGAGATTTTTTAATATACAACTCCAAAATGTGATGGGAATTACACCGAAGGAAGCTGTTTTATTACTGTTGTGACAGGTAACTACTAAAAATGACAAAAGTCTGTTGACTTTCTGTTGAACTTTCATTGCGATTTAAAAATGCTTTTTTTGGCACGGGGAGCCTGTGGGTGGTCAATGGACAAATCCCTGAAAGGCAGGTTGACCCTCTAGCCCCTCCCACCAAATCAACTACTGCTCGTATGCATAATTTATCCAAAATTAGTTTGAAAGTTGGTACAGGCGTAAGGGTGCTGTAAAAAGGTACAATGTCTCTCGATTCAATATGGGGCATTTTCTGGTTGCAGTCTTGATTCTCTGCCGAGTCTGAAGGCGACTGTGAATCTGGAGGTGCTGGACTGTAGCTGCAACCAGATCAACACAGTCCAGTCTGTCATTGAATCCCTCTCCTGTCTCAACAGTCTACGAGTGCTGAAGGCCGAGGAGAATCCTTTCATCATTGAACAAGATTTCCGGTGAGCCATACAAATTAGCATCATTTTCGAATAGGTGGTTTTATGTCGTTCACATTTGAGCCTAAGTGACGACCCGTTGTCCGTTGCTTATTCTTTTATGATTTATTGGCAAAAAGTTCGACATTCATATTTATATATAACTGAGAAAAACTGAAACTATTTTTGTTTTGAAAACTGAGAAAATGTTGTATTATTGAGGCTATTTAGAAGTGGTCAGAAACAGCTTTGTTTTTTTTAAGAAGCAGCATTGAAAGCGCTATTCCATCTATAATACAGCTGAATGATGAAGAGATTACCAGAAAGTCTTCCAAAGTAGACCATGGAAAACAATCCGCAATGTTCCGCACAGTATGTCAGTCTCAAATTGCAGCTTTAGAATCGATCGACTCGGCAATAAAACTACTAAAATTGGATGGATCTAACGAGCAACGAGGAGTCCTCGAGTACATGGGAACCAAGCTATCGTTACTTGATCTACTTTTTGAGACTTCGGTCAAATTTCGGGAGGAGCATGAATACGGAGAAACAAATACCGTGCAACCTTTTCGTTCGTTTGAATTGCTGATCGAGGAGCATACTGTTAGATTAGCCGAGCGTACAGACGCCAGGGAAACAGAAAATGTGCAGAAAGTAACGGGATCCAACAATGAGGTTCGGACTTGTGTGCCTCCTACGACTGATAGACCTAAGAGTTCGGGAAGACGAAGACCTAAAACAGCAGAAAGGAATCAAAATAGAAAGAGCGAGGAATTGGTTGGGGGATCTCCGGGGACTAAACATCTCCTTGGGGGATCGCCCTTGGACGAGATGAAGGTTCCGGAAGTGCCTAAAGAGACCGTGCAGTTTGTGAGGAATGCGTGGAAGAGTGTAGTAAAGGACTCTAATGATGAAGCTGCTTCCAAAATCCAGGTGAGTTAATTCGATATTTCGACAGCATTGCATCAAGTCAGTAATTATAATAGTTAACCTATTTTTTTTTTTGAAAAATCGTAGGTTCAACTTTGTCACCCGTGGATCTCGTTCATTTGCAGCGCAACTACCCATAACTAAATTAATGAATTGTGCTTAGTTTTTTCTCTTTAAGCTACACTTGATGAAACGAGTGTTTTGCTTCGTTTTTCTAGCAAATCCTACGACGAAGAGTGGCCTATTTTTGAGTTCTTCGTAAAAACCCTAAGTTTGGTTTTGAATTGGTCTTTGTTTCTAGGCAGTGTGGAAGGGTTTTGCAATGCGGAAGAAGCTGTCTTCCATCCAAGCACAGGTGGAACAGGAGATCAACCAGATGCTACTTGAGGAGGACATACAGCTGGAGGAGGAGATAGACCTGGAACAGTTCAACTTCATGGATGAGGTGAGGGGAAACAGTTGATTCTTTTTTACTGTGCTAAGGATCCATGCTCATAGTTCAATGCTAAGGAATCTTGAATAAAACTGGAGAGTTAATGCTTTAAGAAAAGGCTCGTCGACTAGGGCAACTAAATGAGAAATTTGTTGTATTAATCTTACATGGGAGCTTTTTGACATGAATTGCCTTTATTTGAGCTTGTATGTCCTCCTCAAAAACATCTCAAATGACACTGAAAGTTTTGGAAACAATAATATTGGATCGAAAGTACATTTATATGAAATCCATTAATTTTCTGTTAGCAAGAACGACGGTTATATTTTTAGTTTTTCAGTTTGATTTGAAAGATGTTTTCTTAGGAGTTTTCAATGGACGACTGGACAATTGACTCTATTCAACAGCCAAAGGTCAAATACGATTCTAATTCTAATTCAGTTTCTAACTCAAACCATCCCATAAAGCGCAATACGATATTAACCAATGGACCAACATCAACAGAAAACAGTCGACATTTAGACACAGTTTTGGAAACAGAGCGGGAAAAGGTGAAGCCCGTAGTTCCTAGCGATCTGGATGCTTCGGGAAAATATACTAGATCCAGTGATAGAGTTAATAAGAATTCATGGGGTACTAGTAATTTGGAAGTCGGTGCTCCTGACAAGCGTCTCGGGAACTCGTATGGAGATGGATCTGTTGCAGCGAGTGAAGGAAGAATAAGCAGGATTGATCTAGAGGATGCAGGAGAGGGGGAAGTGGAAGACCCGAGTTCGAACTCATTCTCGGCACGACAGAATAAAATTGCACAAGACTGGTGAGCTCCTATTCTTTTCATCAAATTAACAAGAAAAACATAAAAATGACTGAAACGTAAAATGTGTATTCTGAGTAGCCAATAGTACAAAATGATCAAATCTATTGATTAGCTTTCCAATGGATATCCTGAAAAGCAGTGATATTTTGTTTCAGGGGTTTCAAAAACAGTGCCACTGCTGAACTGATGCTCAAACGAGCAAAGAAGATGTCCAAGGTCAAGAAGCATATAGGTATGTTGAATAACCTGGTTTAATCAGAAATCAGCAAAACATCGGTACTTCGATGGGTAGTAATTCGGATTCCGAAACTGACAGTGAAACTGGTCTGAATTGTTTTTTTTAAATAGTTTTTCGGACTTAATTAGGTCGATGAATTGAGTACAGGCTGACCTGTAAACTTGGTTACAACTTATTAATGCATTGTTGTACCTAATTCAGTCGTCTTTTTTGGAAAAAAATGGTCAAAAAAATGAAGAAAAACAAAAATAAAAGTTTGTATTTTGGATGTACTTTCTTAAATCAGTGGGACTGGAACTTATTCAGCAAATGTTTATCCTTGTTACGCCATGAAGTTGTTAATTCAGCATAAAATTTAGGACGAATTAATCTACCACCAGGTAATGTCAATCCTTTGGTTTCTCCATCCGTTTCTTGACTTGGAAAGCTTTGACAGTTGTGAAGTGTGGTATATACCTTTAGCAGAAATTATTAGCACGAACACTGCTGGTTTTCTGAATTTGGGGAGCCGTTGATATATTACATTCTATTATCTGCCTGCTACCTCTGCATAAATATACCTTCATCATGTTTTGTGACGTCACAAAAGAAAAAAGTGTTTAGTGACCGATTTGCCGCAGCATTCTCGACTTGAGACGAGAGGCAGTCAAGGTCACAGTGTCAACAGTCGCAATACACCTGGATCAATCAGTTGCAAGACATCCTCGAGAGTGCCAATTGGATCGGACCTCTTGGCTTCTTCGAGACACTCAAACTCAACTGCAGTTCAGCCGAAGTTATTTGAGGCTGCGGTTGATTTGAACAGTAGCAATAATGTGGATAACTATTCGAGAATATTTGCGTGAGTTTCGAAGCCATATTTTGTTCCTTAAAATCTTTAAAGATTTGATATTTAGGAAATTGGTCTAACAGTCTGTTTTACTTTCTAATGTATTGATAAGGAATATAATTAAAGGGTAGGTTACTTTGATGTTTGATTAATTTTTGATGACTCGGTCGGAGTAAGGCTTTTCATTGAGCTTTTTTTGAACCATAGCAATCTTCGAAAGATCTTAAAAATTTACAGAGTAGCTGTCATGTTCCTGATCAAGAAATATAAGGAATTTTCTGGTTAGTTTTGTGAGTGGAGAAATGTTTCTTACCTCTAACATCGAGAACGATCATTGATTGAAGTCAGTTTAAAATATATCCTTCTTAGCTTTTTGTTTAATTTAGATGGGTGAATTTGGGTCAGACGGAGAATGAGGGCGACAAAGATCAAGTGATTAGCAGTAGACCTCTCAGTGGTAATAGAGGCAGTCCCATGTTGAGGAGTGGACCCCCCAAACCGACCGCCAACCCCATCCACTTGACCCCAACATCCAATAAGAGGGGCTCAATCACTAATCTGCAGGTGAGGTGTTGTTGCTTATTTTATTTATAACTATTCTTGACGAGTAACTTACGCCAAGTGATAATCAGAAAGAGTTATTTGTTTGTTTTATTATGCCAGAATTAAGGCTGTCAACTTAAGACTGTAACTGAGATAATTTTTCATTAAGGGGCGTGATTAAGTTTAATTTTGTTTTGGAAATGAAGGGCGGATTCAATGACTGCAATTTTAATTGTATTTCGTCGATTTTGTGCGCTCACACTACTATTTGCCAAGTACTGAAAAAGGGCGCAGAGAATTAGAGTGACTTTCGAAAAATGAGTTCCCAACGGAATAAAAAAAACTTTATCCAGATTTATCCAGTTTTATCAAATTGGGTAATTTTAGAAAAAATGTCGATCATAGATGATTCTTGTATTTCATAGCCCTTTAACTTGATATTTTATTTTCTTCGCATTTGGAAGTTGAAAATGTGTTATTTTTTGTTTCCTTGATTTCGTTGGTTATGGTCTATTAAAAATCGATAAACTTGGTTCAGACTCTTATATAGGTTGATGATATTTTTCAGTTTTTTTTTCAGGAAATGTCTGAAAACGCTCTAATAACCACAGATGTGCATTCATACATACTCATGCATTTATGAATGCACTTAGGTATATATGAACTTTTTGAGCTGAATTGAATTATTCCTGCTAAAAGTTAGTTCATAGCGCTCTCCGATTACGAATGTGGAAATGGGGGAAAATTGAGCGACGTTTACTTGCCTTCATTACACACGGAGCGTAATGTAATTATACGAAGTCCACTTTTTCCTACCCAAATCCCAAATATTACTGCTAATATTGGTGGCACATTTATTTGCACAAAACTGGTTACAAGACCGACGAAAAGACAGTCTCTTCCTCTCTGTGCCCTATATTTTGCTAGTCTCCTTGTACCGAATCCGACCGTATTCGAAACTTGCAGTGAGGGAATTTTTGACGTATTTTTAAAATTTCTCTGACGAAAAAGAAATCTGAGATGGGGAAGGCTTCAATTGAAAGAACAGGTGCTTGGACTTTTTGTGCTCTTATTTTTGCTACGCTCTTTTTTGTAGAAACTCGGTTATGGTTTGTAAAAAAGTCAACATTTTAAAATGTTGACCGTTTGTTGGATTTTTTTTGTTTTTCTTGAGAACTAAGGTGTCAAATCTGAAATTAAGGGAGAAATTGAAGAACAAGTTGTTGGGACATCCCCTGCATCAACGGATTCTACAAAATTTTGCAAGCAATCAGCTATAGAGCTAAGACGTGAAATATTTCGACCAAAAATTTTATTGCCATAGAAAATGTTTTAGGAGATGTTTTACTGTTTAAGAGTAACGAACCTAGTGAATACTCTAATATAGGTCTTGCTGGTTTTTTTTTCAGGAAAAAGTCTTGTTCACGCTCATTTTTGATTTTTTGCAGTTTGACTTGTGATTTCTTTTTAAGTTCAGTGCGTTTCTATTGTTAAAAGGAAGGCAAACTCCACTATCGATCAGCAAAATTGTAAAGGTCATGAAAAACGTGATCGACTTCTAATTTTGAAAATGGAAATTAATTATCAGATTTCCTAGCGAAATAAAAGTTTTACCTATTGATCCAGTTTTCTCAAATTGAGTTAGTTTTAGTAGAAATTGTCCATCATGAATTGTTCTACAAATTCAAAGAGCTTTAACGCCATCTAATTTGTTTATTCGAAATTCAAAAGTTTTTTCAAAAAATTTTTGAAAAAAAAATTCAGTTTTTTTTAGTTTCCTTGCGTTCGTTACTCTTTTCCAACTGTCAGTTGGCTATGTTTTCCCCTCGCAAAAACTTTTTTTAGTAATTTTGATAAATAATCAGCCAAAAACTTTTCAATTTTTGACATTTCGAAAATTACTCCACGTTTGCATCAATTCATTTAAAATGATCAAACAGCCACCTGCAGCTGTGATTGGACCCCTAGTCTGTTTTGTTTGCTGTGATTGGACCCCTAGTCTGTTTTTGTTTGCTGAATTAATATCATATCTTGGTAATTTTTTTGATGCATATTGTTTGGAAACTGTGAATTGACCTTGGCGCAGAGGCTAGGACGGGTGATTCTTAATCTCGAGGTCAAGGGTTCGATACTATGTTTGTGTTACTGCAGTCTACACGAGAGGGAAGTGACCTTGACATTCTGTCTGTTAGTGACACGAAGTCACACAGGTCATGGCAGCACCAACAGCAGGACACTACTAACAGACACATAACAGAGAGACTAAGACAGGGCAGTGTGGGTTCAAATGACTCATCCAGACACACTGGTGGGGAGTCAAACTCTATCTCGAGTTTCCTCAACAGTGAGTAGCGAACAGTCTTGTCAACCACACCATTGTCCTTTCTTTTCTTACGATCGAAGACTTAAGTTAAGACTCAGTTTTAGTTTTCAGACGCAGTCCTAGTTTTTTTTTACGTGTTTACGACTTATCTTAATTTGATGTTTAGGACATACACTTAATTCGTTTTGTTTGGCATACATCGCCTTGAGAAAAATAGATTTGGTCCGCAAATCTATTTCATTAAATGCAAAGAAACTAATTCCTCACTGAATAGGGCCAATCGTATAGGTAAGGCTTGACACATCTTGATTTTGGTAAGATATGGAAGAAGCTGCTAAAGGTAAATAATTTTTCGTTTTTTCTTTCTCTGAAATATTTCCTTGTTACAGAAACGAAAGTGCTTCCTCCCATAAATGGAAAATATTTCGACGGGGGTGCTGATCGGAACTGCAGTGCAGGATGGGGAACGGGAAAAAGAAATACTGGAAAACCCCCGAAGCCAAGCAGAACTCCCGCTGCAAAATGATTGCCGCTGCAAAATCAGTTGAAAATAGCAATAAGTTCTATCTGTGACAAAACTCATGATAAATCACATGTGTTCAGGGCATGTAAGTTGTACATAAATTAGTTTTGTTTGTCCCAAATGTAAATAGTGTCTAATTGTAAATTAATGGCTTCAAAATTTTATTTTGTTTGAGGCAAAAGTCAGGAATCAAAGAATTATCACGTGGATCAAGTTCGATAGTAAATTAATTGGTAACTAAATGAAACAATAAGAAAGAAATTTTTTGATTACCCTTTTGAGCTTTAGAACGTATCAGTACGAACCTTCTATAATTATCGCATTTTTGCTATAATCACGATCTGTAGCATTGAAAATTTCATAGCATCTGTTCTCTGCTTTATTTGTGGCTATTTTTTATGTACCACAACTTGTTATGTACTACAACTTGTCATTGATCGTTAGGCGTCACTTGCTGAGTGGCTAGTTAGTGCGTGATACTCATAATATGTTGTTTGCCGGTTCGATTACGACTCGTAGCCGAATTTTTAGTAATTCTAGGCTTATTTCCTTTTTTCTCATTTCACTTTATAGATCATCTTTTTTGCCGCTTTGTTCACGCTAGTGTTTGCGAAGCCCAGCTTCGCCTCTGTGTTGTTATGTGTTCCCTCAGCTTAAGAGATTTCTCGTTGACCTCTAAAGCAGTTTTTGTATTGAAATTTATTGTCGCAATTTCAAGAACAAGGATAGACGGTTGCTGTGTAAGTAGCACAAAGTTGCGACAACAACAAAATTGATCCACTTTTTCTTTTTTGTGCGTGGTGTCATGAGTGGAATTAGACAAACCCTAAATACATAGAAGGTTTAGCAAAATTGACCGCAGTTGTCTTCCAAATAGAAATAAAAACACGAAAGAAGTAAAAAAAAACATTTGAATTGTCAAAAAAAATCATCGCGATCTAAAAAAGAGTCTGAACTACGTTCATCTGTTCATAATTGTAAGTCAAACCGCTAATTTTTCAGAAATTTTCCTGATAAATTGACCACGACACAAGATCGATCACCACGTTCAATACTCTTACTTAATTATTTCAGCTAAAAACCTTAGTTTTAACAAAAAGCATTTATTAAACTTTCGAGTAGCGGCTCGGCAATTTAAATAAAGTTAAGAAATTTTGACATTTCAAATTTTTAAAAAAAAATCATTCGGGTTTTTATTTCCAAAACTTTTATATTGCCAAAGAAGCGCTACTCAAAAATTCAGAAACTGCTTTTTTGATAAAAATAAAAATTTGTAGTTGAAATAATTGATTACGAGTTTTTTGAACGTAGTGATCAATCTGATATAGGTCTCGGAGCTTTTTTCAGGAAAATTGTTAAAATATTTTCAGACTCATTCACTGTTTTGACTGTTTGGACTGATTTTTTTTAACGTTCAGTTCATTTCCATTGCTAAAAGGAAGGCAAACTCCACCATGAAACAGCAACAGTGTAAACGTTATTGTCTTCTATTTTCGAAAAGGACAGTAAAATAAAAACTTTCCAAGCAAAATAAAAAATTTACCTATTGATTCAGTTTCCTCAAATTGGGAATATTTTATCGAAAAAGTTCGAATAGTAATTTTTTTGAGAACAAATGAAAGAGCTTTGCGGGCATTTCTTGCAAAATTTTGCAAATTATTTTGTTGTTTTCGATTTTGGGAGTCAACAAACGTTATTTGTTTAGGAAAATCCTAATCTTTTTAACGCTCAAATTAGATTTTTTGCGGCTTTACTTTTGATGTTCTAAGTTTGGGTCATTTTTTTGTTGAAAAGAAGGCAAATTAAAATACAGAAAAGAAAAAGTGAACTAAGTCACGCTAAATGTGATTGACTTCTGGTTTCAAAAGTGGATTCCAATTTTTAGACTTTCCAGAGGAACAATTTTTTTCCATTGATTTATTTTTCTCAAAATAGGCCAATTTCATATTGCGAGCAAATGTCTTGTAATCGTGAATTAGGTTTTTCCCACTGAACAATTTTTCTTACCAAAAACTGATCTTGCTTTATTATTCAACCTTAACAATTTCCAAGTTCCTTCCCACTTGTCCTGAAATTAACGCATCGCTTTTGCACCCTAAGGTTTGGGGTTAGGCTATAGGCAGGGCCTTGTTTTTTCAGTGTTTATGAAATTGAATTTTTTTCAGATGAAAATTAAATGTTTGGAATTTCGCTTTGCGAGAGTTTTGTCGGTAAAGGTGCCACATCACGAATTTTTCTTCTCTAGTACGCAAGTATCATGGTTGTTGCAATTGTTGTTCATTGTAGTTTCAGGGGGACCTGAAACTTTTAAAAGTTTTTGAAGAAATTAACTGGTGTCTGCTCAACTGGTGTCTGCTCAAAAATGGTCGGCTTTGTTTCTGCTTCGTAATTTTTAAAATTCAACTCTCCTGCTTGACATTTTTGATAAACACCGGTATTTTTAAAATGTATATATTGGAATTTTCATTTCATTTTGATTTTAATCTAAACTTAAATGAAAGATCGCTTACTCCCTTGTGTGCCTACATAATCTTTTTTTTTAATATGCCTCACTGTCTACAGCCTTCAAAAAGTACGTTGGTAATAATTAACCTAAATTTTATTGACCTAAATTTTATGTTCAATGTGGAGAACGGATAGTGTGAAAGCTGCCCTAAATTTAATCTAACGGTTTTCCAATTTCTAACACGAAAATTTTTTGCACTCGTCAAAGTGAAACTTTTGATTTTTTGTCTGTTTTTTTCAAACTTTTTGTTTCTAAAAAAACTACCCTAGCATATCTTAGATTTTGAGTTCAATCCCAGAAAAGGGTTTTTTGTAAGCGCCCTGTATAAACGGTTGAGCATAAGTTTTTTTGCAAAAAGTAGGGGCTATCGGTAAAGTCCAAAAATTGAATTTTTGACCGTTTTTCGGAAACTTTTGACTGCTTTTGTGAGTTATTCTCCCACATCTGAGATTTTAGGTTAAATAAAAATAATTAGTTGTGGGAAATTCTACTGCATAATTGACTATGCGTAAGTTTTCTACGCAAAAATTTATGGCCCTCGAAACTGTAAATGATGGGTTTTGTACCTTTTTTCGGAACTATTTGATTATTCTAGAAAAAGACCCTCGCAAATCTATTTATGTAAAAAATATATATGCATCATTTGATCAATTCCTACAAATGTGTTTGTTCTGTAAATTTATCAACAGCAAAGACAGGCGTAATCACATGCGAATAATTTTCTTCATATCCCTGTGTTGCTTCAGCTACTAAAAATCATGCTGGTCGTGCTGTCGTCTTCTAGTCTAAGTGACCTTCATTTAGTCCGTGTGCCTCTAATGCATATCTTGATTGCTCTCAGAATGGCAAAAAAATTCTACAACGAACCCAGCACATAACCTAGCTGTAAGTTATTTGCACTTTGCACTTCATTTATCTGCAATTCGCTTTAAAAGGAAGGTAAACTCGGGTGACAAAAGTTCATCCACAGATGTCACTAGTGGAGTAAATGAATATACCAATCTTCGCAAGCTGGTACATATTTTTCCTTTTTTTTTCTCCCTCAACAGATATCAAAATAATCATTTGGTTACGATTCAGTTAAGACGGAGTCTATGTTTGTGACACGAATATCGAATGACGCCACAGATTGCCTGTCCCAAACACGACAAGCTATAGGATCCGCAACTAATGCTGGGGTACCTATATCTGCGTTTTCGATAATGGCTTCGCATTTCACGTAGCTCCGTTTTGCCGCTGCGACGAAAAAGTGTCAGTCAAAAATGCTAGTGAATTTTGAAAAAAATTCACTCTCTGTTGTCTATATAAAAGAGTCAGGAATCTTATGAAAACTTTTATATAAGTATTGGTGATTTTTTTGTTTGTTTTTGTCATCAAGAAAAAGTTTTAAAATTTAACCAGTATCTGTCGCAATGTACTGGAAGTAAGGGTTCTCGAAGTGTTCCGCTGTATTCCTCCGCTGTATTTCGCTCTTTCATGACGACCCCGAGAAAATAAACTATGATATTCATTGCAGATCAGGCATAAAAGTAGCTTCAATTTTTTTGCGTCCAACAGAAAAAAAGAATTTCGTCAAATTGTTGTCCAGAAAGCTCTGCGGCTATGAAATCATTGACATCAATCAATGGCTCTGTGGTAAAATTGAACTCTCAGAAATTAAACGTAATCTTAAAAAGAATCAACCTCAGCAGAAAATTCTAAAAACAAAAATTTTTCTACAATTTTTCTACATAAAAACAGAAAACTTTTCACGACTAACCTAACGATTTTAACAAAACTGCCGTAACTTTTTCGATGGATTATAGAATTGAGGTCTATTGTTTTGCTTCAAGGTACAGCCAATATACTATTCGTAGACGAGGCGTAGAAGCTAAAATATCATAACTAGTTTCCGGTGGAAGTTTGCTGCGGAAACACCCTTTGCAGACAACACTAAAACTTTAAAATATTGGGCTCAAACTGGTTCCATTGAAAGCCGATGAGCGTGACTCATTTTTTTGATGTGGAGAAAAAATATATAACAAGTATTTTAAAGAGCTTTTTGGTTCAAAAAAATCCTCAGTTCCCATTCTCTCTGGAATAGTCATTGAGAGTGGCAATTAAAAGATAAAGCTGAACATAAAAATTGATTTTTTTGTCAATGAATTTGAGGAATTTTGAATCAACAAAACAAATTTTGGATCAATTTCATCTATTTCACCTATTCATCTATCAACTTTAATGGTTATTTATCTTCCACTGTGTTTAAGCGTTTTGGCTCAAAAATTTAAGCGTTTTACAATTTGTTCACTTTTTTCACTCGAAATCAGGTACAAGAAAAAGTAATCAGAATGGAAATTTTGCGCACAATAAAAAACATCCCTCCGACCAGATCAAGTCAAAGTTTCTGCAATTGAAAAAATCGAAACCAAAATATCTAATGTCCGAGTAAAAGCATACATTATTAGCTGGTCATGAAACAACTGTGTGATAGAAAAAACTTCCGGGTTAACTAAGTTACAAAAAAGTCCCTCTTTGATACTGTATGAGATTATAAAGTTTTTTCCTTCACAACTACCATATTTCGTTCCTTTGTTTGTAGACTGATGAGCTGGTCGCTTCGAGTTTCACGTGAACATAAAAAAAATTTAGTGCGATTTT